CTCGGAATCTAAAATAATTGTTGTTGATTGCAGGTGTAAATAATAGTTGCCATTGATTTTGCTTGTAAAGCGAGGAGAATGGCCATACATGTAGGCTTAGGTATAGATAATGATCCATTGATTATTCATGCTGTCTGGACTTTCCTTTAAAAAATAACAGATTTGTTGTCAATGTATCAACCTCACAGATCACACAGGTCTTCTAGTTCAAGTCTACTCAGTCCACCCAGAACTAGAACCAGACATGAAGATGCAGCATTTAGTTTCTATGCTCAACTTATCTGAAACAACCTTAAAATAATTATGTGTATGTCCTGAAAGCCTGAGCTATTAAATCAATTTTTTTAGAGTTGCCTTTGACTGATGAATTTAAATTTTAACTGAGGTACAATTAGTTTAAACTTGTGGCCCAGCAGTTTTATTTGTTCTACTTCCTTCTTTTATCATGTTTTTATCTTTACTTGCTTTTATTCTACAATTTGAATCGTTTTTGTTCTTAATTTTGCAATATACATAAACTTACCCCACGTTCCCTAATTTAAGGTCTCATATCTAAATAGATATTCTAAAGATAAATAAATATATATACTTCGCACAATTTTATTTAAAACAGAAAGGTTCACAAAGAGAAATTCTAATCTATTTTTATTTATTTTTTTTTTCTGTGCATTTCATCTTTTTAATTTCTTTGGGTTATGATTCGCATCAAAAATGTTAAACATCACTTGGAACCTTATTTTCCAGCCTGAGTTGCCCATCGGCGACTTTCAAGCCGACGGACTAGAATGACATAATGGTAAACAGAGTAAGGTGAGTCTGATATATCTTTACCGGTTGGAGCATGAAGACAGTTTTACTAGCAGACACTGCAGCAGCAGTCCAGTAAAGCCTTTTGATTGTATTCCGAGTTACTAAAACATTTGATGCTAAAGCCACATCGATCTGTGATGGAGAGCGTTAGCCATTAGCGCCCATTAGCAAAGGATAAATGGGCCGAATTCTCCCAAGTTTTCCTATCAAATATGAAATTATTAAAATTATTTGTTTTGTTTACATAGAAACGCGTGTCTGTGGTACATTATAATTTACTAAAGCTGTGCAGAAAGTCAAAGGCGGTTTCTATTCGGTTTCTGCAGAGATGCTGAATCCTGATGGATTCGGAAAATAACGGTGGAGTTGAAGTGGCTGGTTAAAGGGGCCGTTTATTGATTTGTGACAGCTACTACTTCTTTGAACTACTTTTTAAATTTTTTATTTCATTTCTTACGAATACGTGATAATAAGCGCAAAGGAACAATCCAGTGAATTTTATATCAGATGTTCCTCTTTTTGGGATGTAATTTGGTTCACGTTCAATATGAATTCTTAGAATTACAATTGAAGAAAGTATTAATATAACAACTTTTACCTGTTATTACGTTTCGCTCGTGTTAGATGCAGGGGCGGAGCTAGATGGGGGGCCATGGCCACCCTTAGCTAATCATTGGCCACCCCTACCATTTATTTCCCCTTTAATACAGACGTGGCAGCAGTAATACTTTAAAGTTAAATATTCAAAATAATTTAATTTTTCATATATTAACAATTACTTGACAACAAAAGCACTGTGGTATATTGTGCACATTATAATACTAACATTAAAGAGAATAATCCATGCTCTTTTCAGAACTAGATTTATGTGTTATATGGGGTAAAGAGAAAATTATGCGTCTCTGAAAGCCATCTAGGAGTTTTCAGTGAAATCATAGATAAATAACTATTTTAATAAAAACTTGATAATTAATTTATGTAGATATTAGTATTTGTAAATATCAATTAATTAATTGTTGATAAAAGTAGGTAAATAATAACAAAGGAAGACATGTTTGCCCCAGAACTCAAAGCTGAAAGAATTTTATTCACTTTACCTTTTATCTAGAAAGCATGGAAGTTTTATGTATATGCGTATATTTGATAGCATAGATTGTATAAAAGTATAATTTGCCTTTATTTAGAAAATGCAGCCGTTAATTTTAATGTGCTCGTTAATTATCCTGTAGGAACAGTGTAGATTGACCCTGAGGTTCTGGCGCGTATCTACTTTCAGCCACCCCTCATTGTACCTTGGTTATTGCCCGGCCACCCTTATTCAATTTTTCTGGCTACGCCTCTGGTTAAGATGGTAAATTGTTCTAGTTAGAGGAATGAAAATGCAAGATCTACGTGATCAGAAAAGATAACTCACCTAATATATAATTTATTTTGTTGAGAATAAACAGTTTGTGGAGATATATATAATGCAGTACATATTTCAAGAGTATGAATGGTTCTGAGTTCTCACAAATATGTATGGTAAATTGAGCTTTATTCTGATCAAACAATATTTAAAAACAAACAAGCAAAAATAGTAAATGTATGTCTAATGTAGTGGTTCTGGTTAGGAACATATATTGGGATGTAATCACTGTAAAATCGATACTGCTCTAAAGAATGCCAAACTTGTTATTGTAAATTCAAGCCCCATTTGTCAATAATCCATTCTGCCTGTTGGACTCCAGTAGATGCCCTCATTTAAAACAGATTATAGTATCCAAGATGCTGAAAGTCGGATGGGCTTTTAGTGTCTCAATGGCAGCTTAATTTATAAGATACCACAAGTAGAATAATATGGTCGTCTTTAATTTTTATGATGTTTTTTTTATTATTCTATCAGCTCCTGCATTGGTTTACAGAATTTGTATGGAGCTGACATGAATTAGCAGGTTGATCCTGTAAGAATGAGCCCAGGGAATACCTGACGAAGGTTAAGATGCTGTGTAGAAAGTATCTTGCATAATCTGCTGAGTGTGCTTTCCATCACATTATGGATTCCAGCTGGAGGCTCGCATCCATGTGTAATAAACTTCCCTCCTATTGGTATTAAGACCTTGAATGTATTTGCAATATTTATCAGGAAGTGGAAAGCAGAATCCAGCCAATGTCATCAAATTGAATATTGACTGAATTGCACATAGCCCTGACCCCTCCAACTTAGCCCTAGTTGGGAGAGCTCCATCAGCAGTCTGTTTAAACTCATTTTTGTATGTTGGTCAGCATTCGCACTGCTGCTCTTCAAAGCCTAAACCTAGGACTGTACTGCAGGAATGACATCAAATTGAATGTGCAAAGTTTCGATTACTTGGATGCAGTGAACCATGAAGGACTTGTTTTCATTTGGCTTACAACAGGCGGTCCCATAAACAATAAACGAGTTTCCACCTTTATCTAATCGCTTATATTGTAGGACTTTACATACCAAGTAGATTTAGAGAAAAAGGTGTTGAAAAACCAGTGAGATGCAAACCATTTGTGTGCATAGAACAGAAATATTAAGGTAAACAGAGGTGGCTGGCAATGCTAAAGTTAGCAACTTAGTTTTAGCTTCCTAAATGGATGGAAATAAAGGACTGTTTCACTTTTTTGTGGTGTTCTAAGGATTGCACACTCATTTCACCACCTCCTTAAAAATCTTAAATACTTTGTTACTCCTGTAGCTGATAGTAACTGAACATAGATGCTTTAAACAGTTAGTTCTTGCAAAAGCAAACATTAATTTTAAATGCTTAGGTCATGTGCAGACCACTTTAAATTGAGGTAAACATGGTGCTATGTTGTCATGTGAAAGAACGACAACACTCTTTGGCAGATTGTGCTTCTTTCTAACATATTTGAGCTATAGAGAGGAGTCTCTATTTCTGTGGATTATAAATAATCTACAGTAGTAGAGATTTAAACTAACTGTCCTTGTTGATGTTTTGACCTGAAAGCAGACTGCATGATGCTAAAATAGGTATAATTCTACCAAATTCTTCTAACTGTTGATATCAAATCATGTGATTCTACAATCAGAAACAGACCAAACATGTTCTATTTTCAGGGGAGTCATGTAAATAGAAAGCATTTTATTATTCAGCAAGAATGTAGAAAAAAAACAGGACTTATGGAACAACCATCTTTGGAAAGATAAAGGTTTGTTTCCCAGCAGAAGAGCCTCATAGAAAGTTTGACAAAATAGAGATTGTGGTTTGTATTGGTTTATTTTCTGCAGTTTGTCAGTTATGAAACCTTCTATAATAGGGGAAAAAGTCGCCATGCTGGTTAAATGCTCTTTATATGTCCCCACATGACTCAAATCTTTGGTGACAAATGCTAACCCACTTGTGGGAATCTGTTTATCATTTTCATCAAAAGGTGCAACAAAAGACACAACTGCACCCTGGAGTAGTTTTGTCCAAACTTTGAATTTCTAACAATAAAGTACCTGGAAAAAATCTGTACATTCAGTAGGAGAGGTACTAATGTTATTTGTTTTCTCAGACGTGGTATTTTTCCATCTTCCCTGTTACAGTGAGTAGGCAGCATGGTTCTGGCTGCTCTTTGGGTTTCTTGTGATTCATCTAGAATTCAGAAAATAAGTCAGTGAGTAACTGATGGACTCAGAGCCCGTCTGCAGGGACGATGATGTCATTCTATAAAGGGTGGGTGTATGTGGTAAAATGCTGATTATTACAAACTGGACAATACTAATCTTTTGGTTAAATTCAAAATCTTTTGGATTTAACAAATTTTTATTGGGAAAAAAAAAAAAGTTTAGATTTGAGACATCTTTTTAAGAACTTGCCACCAAAAGAAGGGGTGTCGAAATTAAGCACCCAAAACAACAAAAACTAAACAATTATTTTAAAAACACTAAAATTTGTCACTCTTTTAATGCTTCGAATCTAAAATGATTTACAGATCTCCTTTTTTTTATTACCCTAGTTTGTGTGCTGCATTTAAACATTACATTTTTATTTTATTTTGAAGAGGATAAAATAAATATAATCTAAATGAAAAGGAAATTAGGTTTCAATTTCAGATTTGATTTGTTTTCTGATAGGATGCTGCTTACACAAAGAGATTAATTAATTTAGTTAAAAACAGTAAAATCATACATTATTTCTCTCTTATGGGCAAGATCAAGGTAGTTTTTGATGTAAAAAGTATGAAGGCACTGCTTTAAAAAAAAAAAAAAAACCTATGATAGGACCAATTTTCACAACCGGGTTCTCTGTTGATTTTGTAGACATCAGTAGCTGTCATGTGCGGTATGGTAGAAAGGGACATGGGCCAGATTAAATGTTTGCATAGAAGAGTGAGACTTTTTATGCTTTCTGTGGTGGAAAGATAGTGATATTGACAGAGAGCTTAACAAATATCTTATAAAATTCCACCTGTTCATAGCATCTCTATCTTCAACTAAACCTAACTTACCTATGGCAGCAGGATTCTGTCAAAAAATCATTTAAAAAAAGTCAGAAATTAGGGTGAAGTGTACTGATGTTTCATAAAGTTCCTTTATTTAAGGTCAACTGACCATTCAGACAGCTGATCACTACTTTTTGCTCTCCGTTGGTCATATAACTCCGCCTCCCCGCAGGCTGCATGCTCCGTCTTTGTTATTTTTCGTCGCTGTCACTACCCGACAGCAGGTAGCTGCCTCAGCAGATCCCATGATGCTATATCTGCCCGTCTAGTGACTCTGGATGATCACTATTTTTCAAGGTGCATTGTGGGAGATTACAAGTTCACTACTTTTTCATCCATCATTTAAAATGCTGTATTCACTATATAGTGCCCTATGGCGATTTGGGCAGACATTCAGACATGGCCCAAGATTAAGAAAAAATATCCTGGTGAACCATGGTCGAGCAGTAAGCTAGTAAAAAATGTTAGCGAACTTCCTCCAAAGCCTTTCAAAATAAAGCAAAAAAAAAAAAGGAACTTTTCTATCCGTCTGTTTACTTTATATTTGTGTTGGTTGGGATTTATGAGGTTAGTTACAATAGTTGATCATCGGTTTTACAATCAGTCCAAATATCAAGCCCTTAATAACACAGTAAAGTTTTTACTTTGGGTTTGTTATACTATGCTCCACAAGCGCATTCTCATTCACCACAAGCTTATATAATGCTAAACAAGCGTATTTTACTAAACTTAGGTGAATATCTGCCGCATTGATGCTTATTATAAAAGGCTTGCAGATATTTCAGTATTAGATAAGTCATTTATCTGTATATTTTCCATACTTGTAACCCTGTATCAACAGGATTTAAGGCTGGTTAGTTCCCTTTTATCTCCAGCTGATTCCCTTAAATTATTAATATAACGTAATATTATATGATCATCAATTATACATGATGTTTGCATGTGTCATATTTCTAATTTTGTTGGATTGTCTGGAATAAAGCTGGACATTCAAGACTCAAAGGTGCCCCAATGCTAAAAGCTGATTGGTCAGTCAGCCATCTGTGTCCATAAATACATTTGCAGAACTACATGTCCAGCAAACATAGGTTGTTGCAAGCAGCTCTTATTGAATCTGTGGATGGAAGTTGTTTTATCTAAAACTGAGCAGTATTATGTGTTTGCCCCTTTTTGTGGCTATAGCTTGGGGGGGCTAAGTTGATAGGGCTTTACATCATCACATCCAAAGAAAACATTAAAAACTCCCCATTTGTAGTTCTGAGTAATTTTCCTGACCATGTGCTCATATGGGAAGCACCAGATGTTACCTTCTAGTGATGTAATGTTCATTTAATAAATAATAGATGTAGAAGGAAGATCAATAGAAGCACAAATGACAAAGCGTATGTAAGCATTGTATGGAGGGAGGAGGATGAGAAAGGATGAGCACGTCTGGCAGACTGACGGAAACCCCACCCAGACCTGATTCCTTGTCGCTCCGTCCGCTGATAAGCAGCTGATGAGGAAGTGGAGCAGTATTTCACAAGGACATATAGGGCAGGATGATCAACTCTATTGAGCTAATCAAGATACTGTTGGTATGTTTGAAGCTGATTTCTCTTTTATTCTTATCTCATGTTTGCCTTGACAGAGTCTCTGTTTAAATAAGCAAAACCAACTTTGAAAATAAGCACTTTTGTTCCTTTCTTTCCAGAAATTAGATTTCTCACTGCTAGTAATGTTTTTGTTCTTGTTGCGTTTGTACATGTTGTCTTGACTTCCTCTTTCTCTCTTTTGTTGCAGCTAAGACCCAGAGAGCCTCTGTCAGTTGACCTCATAAGAACCAAAAGAGCATTGATTTGTCCATGTCTGAGTCTGGCAACATCATTTTTTTTCAAAGGACAGTAATCATGTGGGCCCCTGGTATTATTTTTACAAAAGCTCCTTTTCTAGTGAGAAACAAACCAGACTTTTAGAGCTGGAAAAGGTAAACTACAAGACTTAAAAAGTGTGGAAGACGCCTTCAGTTGCAGAGCAAGAAAAATCTTTAGACGACCATTTAAAAAAAATTCAGACATCCTGAAAATGGTTTGCCTGACCAGAAAACTCAGATATGTCGATGTAAATGCTAGTTTGGCTTTTTGGTCATGATTGCAAGAGTTCTGCATCGTTACTGGAAAACTGTCTTCTTGTCAGATCGTTTCTCAGGGGTAAGTCTGTGATTTTAAAGCCATGGAGGGTCTTGAGCAACTTGATGTGGTGGGTGATATCAGCCCAGCCCTGGAGGCAACAGAGGACTTCATCCACTGCATAGATAGGAGGATCCAGAGTCAAGGCCCAAGCCTGGCTCAGACCAGCCACCATCAGCCTGCCAGGCAGCCTAAGCAGCTGCAGGATGTGTCCAGTGCTGCTCTGGGGAAGCTTAGCTCCAGTGGTGTGTGGAATCTTCTGGCGGGAGAGCAGCCAGAGGTTGGGCCCCTCGGCCTAGCCTGGGCTGACAACTTCAGCCTGCTGGGTCTGGGCATGGGTTTGAGGCATGGCAAGAGAAACCGAGCACGCTCCACCAATGACCTGGTGGCCCATATGCAGGAGTGCAACAACAGCACGGGAAGCTCCTCATCCAAGTCTGTTTTTAAGAAAGGACACAATCGGTCCAGGTCCGACGTCAACTATCGTCCGTCTGCGTACACGGACAATGGACTGCCCACAGTGGACTGCAACACTCTGAAGAACATGATCCTCAACCAGCAGCAGGACGGTGAGCGAACATTAAATTATAGAAGAAAAACATAAAAAGATTTAAGTTGATTCCCACTTCATAGATTAGGCTTTAAATTCATGATGCTTCAAATAATTCCCCATTCTGTATTCTGTTTATATCTCAGAAATGGTGTACAAGATTTTATTGAGGCAGCTCTTTATCTCTAATTTTTACTTTTGTCCCTGGCTTCTGGGAAGTGCCCATGGTCTTTATATGCTTTGTACTTTAACACCATTTGTACCAGGCAGCTTGAGACCAACCAGAATTATAACGTTTGATTTCCCTGCTTACTTCACATAAAAGTATTCCTTTAAAACTTCCTTATTTGTCAGAAATTGACATTAAAGTATGCTCAACTTTAATTCAAAGCTACCTGAGGCATTTATTAGCTAATTTTCGTCCAGTCTTGTTCAAAGCACAACTCAAAGATCTGTTGTGTTAACAAAATATCTATTTACAAATGGATACGATTTGACTCAAAGAGAGAGAACTACAGAAGAAGAAGAAATCTTTCCATGGATGAAAAAGCAAGTAGTCAAATTTTTAGCCCATAAAAGCATTTTTAGTTCCTTTATTGTATTAATAGAAAGTCTTTTGTTCCTTGCAGGTGTTTTGTTTTAACTACTTTTGGTTCCACAATGACTCAAAGTTAAAAACCTTCAGTTTTGTGTCATACTATGGTAGTGTACTAAAACTCTATCTCCATTCATCTTTTTTGTTTGTCAATAAATACGATCATCTTCATGATGTCTGGGCTAAACAAAAAACAACTGACTAAGGGGTTAGCAGTTAAACTGTAATGTAAACTGGACCTCAGTAAAGCTGCATCACTGATCATTTTGACATACTCCATGACAAACTAAGGCTATGTTCACACTGTAGGCCTTGATGCTCAATTCCGATTTTTTTGCAAAATCCGATATTTTTATGTTGCCGTTCATATTTCCAACTATATGCGACTTGTATGTGATTTCCTGTGTGAACTGCAGTCATATAACGCAAGTGGCCAGCATGCGCAGTAGAGGATGCAATGACAACACAGGCCAGAGTGCTCTTTTTTTTCCGCAAGTAAACATGGCTGGTAGCGCCGGAGCGCATCTAGCGATCTTTTCCAACCATAAAAACACATTCTTTTCAATATGGTTAAACATAAATACTGCTCTCCACATCATCATCTGCCATGGTTGTTGTTTTTCTTGCCGCTTCTGTGTAGCAAGACGCATAATAGTGACCTTTGTTGGGTATTAATGACGTTCAGGTCAGATGAATCCGACCTGGCCATTCAGACACAGGTCGCATTTGAAAAGATCGGAATTGTATTGGATTCAGGACCACGTAGCCAAGTGGCCTGTGTCTGATTGGAAAAAATTGAATCTCTGTTTTTCAGACTGCCATGAAAAGATCAGATTCAGGTCGCATGTGGGCCAAAAAATCGGTTTTGGGTCACTTCAGGATGCGGTGTGAACGTAGCCTTAGCGAACCTCTGCCTCCCTCCTGTAATTTCATAAAATTCTTTGATAATCATTATAGGTAAATAATCTAGATGTGGGGCCAAACTAACACCAAAGTTCAAGTCAAGGACATTTTGGTAATTTATTAGAATATTCAGAGAAGTGTTATACTTCTGTCCACCTATCCATTTGTATTTAAAACAAACATTATGTAGAAATCTGGCGTATTTGGAGTATTTCAAAGGGTGTCCACCTTGGATTATCACATCTTTAGGCTGTGAGCAGGGTAGGGGGATCCAAGGGGATCCTCCCTTCTACTTTTTTCCTTATTATGGGAAGTATGTGTGCTTGACTAGAGGTGGGAATTTAATAAGGATGGCATTAGATCATTTTTAGGTACATTATTAAGTTTCATACCTTAATTCAAACAATAAAAGTGTAATGCTACGTTCACACCGCAATTTGAGCTGCAAAAAAAGCCCTTAGTGCATAATTTTTTATGCTTGCACACAGGTCAGATGTGTACAGATGCATCTGATGCTTCTGCTGCTCTTGCGTTCAATGGCAGACAGTGGCTTTGCTATATTAACTGTGATCAGTGGGTAAAAGGTAGTTTTAAATATATTTTTATGCAAGAAAGTCCACCAGTCAGCTCATCAAGATTACGATCCTGCCATAAAATATTAACTCGCTGTCGGAGCAGCGCAGAAGACCCCAAGATACCTGTGGTGCGCTGACACTGAAAATCCCCAGCAGCAACTGCCTCAGACTTGATCTCCTCTTGGGGGATTTCCCCTACTGGTCATGGCGTTCATGGAAGTATATGTTGGCGTTTTTTAGGTATACGCTACAAACTGCAGGGAGCAGAATAATAAAAGCAAACATATTTTTCTGGCAGGTTTCAACATTTGAAGTTAATTTAGGCGTAAATAAACTGTTTTAGTGAAGTGAGCTCTGCCAGCTTGCAGATCAGCTTCTCTGATTGGTTGATGTGGTGCGTCGAGCAGCAAAAATTCAATTTTTCAAGCTCCAGTATCTACTGCTTGTGAAGTTTAAAACATATGATATGTTTCCAGGGGGTAAATTAAGGCGTATCAAAGCTGTCCCAAAAACTTTTTTAGTAAAGGGCGTACAATGTACCCCTGTATACATTGCTAGCTAAAAGCCTAGTAAGATCTGAAAGAGAACGGAGTGCAATAAACATTAGGAAAACATTAATAAAACAGAGTTACCTTGGGTTTGACACCTTTCCTTTTGATTCAAAATAAACTTAACTAATATAATCCTCATCCAGCTCCTGAACTTTGACCTGGCTGAGATTTACAAGGTAATCAGCGTTACTTAGTCCATGTGTCTGTGCTTTCAGGGTTCGGCCCCCTGGTGTAATCTTTCTCATTTAGGTGAACTGGCCCTATAATGACATGGTATTTACCTAATTGGACATTTACGGTGCAAATTGTTGCTTTGCCTCTTTGAAGATGATGTCAAGCCCTCTGTTGACCAAATCATTGAACTTGAAGTATTCCTGATTCTCAGCAGACGGCTGCCCCTTACCTGAGAGAGGCATCCACACCGCCTCCCCCTCCTCCTTTCTGATCGGCAGTCCATTGAGTGAAAAGCTTTCTCATCTTTTGAGAGGCTTACGGAGGACAGAAGTCCCCGACTATTTGTGCTGCAGATCGGGGCGTGTGCCGTACTTAGGTTGAAGCATCCCCAGAGAAAGCAATAATGATAGAAGATGATGATATCTTAAAATGACACAGCTGTGGCTTGACCGTCCATATTCAGGCTGAGAGCCCAACACACTCACACACACTCAGAGAGAGCCTATTTGTTTGTGTGTTTTGGCTATCCGAAGACCTAAGGAGATCCGAAGGGATCCTGGGGGATAATAGCCCGTAATCCTGTCAGCAAATGGACTCAAATGAGGCGAGAGAAGAGGCAATCCAATTACCGGACCGCTGATACTGGCAGGATTATTTAGTATTAGCATATGTGTGAAAAGGTATCAGGCTGTTTGGACTGGCGAGATGTGAAGTGAAAGACGAGAAGTAGGAAAAAGACGGTAATAAGCAGAAAGCAAAGTGATTTAGCTGGGCCTCGCTGTGCCTCTTTATTCACATAAATAACAATAAGGAAGCCTGTTTTGTTGCCTTTCCATTAGTGACAGCTGGGGATGCTTAGACGCTAAATGGAAATGATTAGCAGTTTTATGGAAGCAGTATGTATACTTTATGTGTATTTGGATAAACAAAGCCAAAATAAAGCTTACTTTTGGTTCCTTTGTACTTTATTAGAGAAGTTCTTTCTCGGTTTACAAAATTAAGATAAAACACAACTGTTATTGCTTAGTTTATGAGTTATTTAACCAATGCCTGGTGAGACACAGGGAAGACATCAGGTGCATAAGTCTTATTAAGAGAAAGGGTGCAACTCGCACTCGTTACTGCTTTTATTATAGTAAATGACAAATTAAATATGTCATTTAAATACTGCTGCTGAAAACTGTGATGATGGTTTTTTCCTCCTATCCGCTCACATATTATTTGTTTCCTATAACAAAGCGGCCCAGCCACACTACAGTATAAATTAGGTGTGGGCTTTAAGGGTAGTTGGCATTAGCGCTGGGTAATTACTTGCATTTGCAATATAATTGCAATTTAATAAGATGCATATTCGAATCGCAGAGGCGCTTGATTTTCGTTGACCACATTTAACAAGAGAACAAGACATAACATTTCTCACTGCAGCGCTTCAGGGGGCAAAAATATATTTAAAGAGGGTTTCCTGCCACACAGAATAGAAAGATTTATCCAGCATGCAGATCCATGAAAGTAAATAAGCACTTTATCACATAAAGGTTACAATAAAATCCTGCAACAATAGACCGAACAAGCAAGCTGTGAAGGCAATGTAAAAAACGGAAACCCTGAAATTAAACATTTACAAGTTTGTGATAAGTGCTAAGGAAAATCCAGATAAAATTGTAATCTCAATATTGGTGAAAAATAAACGCAATTTTGATTTTTGGCATAATCCTTCAGCCATATTCTACATTAAACCAATTGGCCATATTTTATTATCAATATGAAAAGTACATGAAAGTAGGACACTTAAAATATGTCATCCTTTTGAAAATTCTATCCAAATTACTTTGCGATTGCCATAATCCACACACTGATATTATGACAACATTCAGGATGTTGTGCCGTTTAACTATTTCATATCCGCCTTTTTTTATTGCACTTAAGCCAGGGAGCTGAAGTTTTTTATTCACACGATGAAAGATGGGTGCCCTCAGTGGCCATATTTACTGCACACGTGTTACCGCTACAAAAGAACAGCTAACATTACTTGTATCACATTTCTCATGCTACGCTATCCAAAAAGATGCTTTGCTCACCTTGGCTTGAAAGTAACACTTGGAGCATCAAATACTGTCTTGACCATTTCTTTAATTATCTGGCGGCAGTACTGACATTTATACCTTTGAGAAACGGCAGGACTCGAAATCCCCTTTATTTTCTTTCCGCTCCAGCGTTCATACCAAGATAATTAAGAGTTTGACTGTAGCTTAACACTGGTGGCTCCACTTGATGTATGTTCTGATGGAAGCCTGTGTTAGCTCTTTTATTACCAAAAAAATATGCAGTCACTTAAGTAAACGAGAAGACATTGATATAGAGAAAAGATTGAAGTGATAACATGTAACAGCCAGGATAGCCGTCAGACTGGAATTAGCTTGTTTGATAAATTATAGTTTAGCAGCATGATTGAGTGGAATACTGAAGAGTTATTTAGTGGTATTGAGTGTGACGTATGAGTTATTATTGAGGGTTTGTGTGTTTACGTTGGACTATTATTGTGTGATGTGAAACCCGAGCAGGTGGAAGCGAAGGCTAATTTAATAAAGCAGTTTTCCTCTCCGCATTTCTTAATTCTCATCTTGACTCTCCCAAGCGTGAAGTCTGCCAATCAGTTTGGCCTGGTTTGAGTTGAACCTATTTGCATATTTATTTATTCCTCTTAGCAAAAGCTTTGTTAACATGCAAAGTCTGTGATCTAGAGTGACTCCATGTCTGCCGCCGGTTTGATAAGATTGATGAGAGCCTGCTCTCGCCGGCCGTAAGTTAACCAGGACTGTGAATTATTTCCCTTTCAATGTTTTCTAGCTGAGTGACCCAGCGCATTAAAGAAACGAAATGCTTTTTTATTTATTTTTTTTGCCCATTAGGTTGAATTGTGCTACTCAATGAGATTGTCAGGCTGGTTTAGAAGCGGTCCGTAAGTGATTGCTGTTATTTAAATTGTAACACTCCACCTAATAATACAATAAGACGCAGGTCTTCAAAAGGGGGTCCTGCATGAGGTGTTATATGGGGGTTGTGAAAGTTTTGGTTGATTAGCCTTTTTTTATATTCCTTTCTGCAATTTTTTCAGCTAATTGAAATGTCTTTAAATCCACATCAACATGAATTCAACACACTGTAGTAAACAGACAAATGGAGGCAGAAGATGTCTTTCAGTCATCAATGCACACATTCACACAGGAGCACACAGGAGCTCTTCTAAGCTGGGCACCGTTTCATTCACAACACCTGTCCCATCAACCAGGAATCCGAATCAGAAATACTTCCGTTACATGACTCCATCTGTAATAGACTATAGGACCAGTTTGATATAACACAAGTCAATTTCATACAATATATACAACTAGGAGGTCCCTTGGCCGGGAAAATAATGAATTGTTTTTTCCAGGTGCTTAAAAAATCTGTCTACTAAATATATCGGGAAATATTTAGTTATTATTAGGGGTTTTCCTTAAGTTGCATTTATAGAAGCATCCGATGCTATATTAAATTTCTCAAAACCAATGCTGTATGTATGGTTGACTACTTGATATTTCTAAAGTACCCTAATAAAACACTCTACTGTTTATCCATATCTTTTTAGCCCTAATATACTGCTCCAACAGCAGTAAACGGCTCTAAAAGCAACATCACCTCAATCATTCATTGGTTGTTCCTTAGTCGCCATCTGGCTAAAGTGTGGTATCTACTCGCACTACTGCCGTTCACTGTAGAGCTAGGCTAACACTAGCATGTATGCTCTGTTTTGATAAGTATTATTGATGATTTAGTTTGCAACAGATTTCAAACAAATCACAAAATTTGGAGAAAAAGTTGAACGTTTGACGATGGGTATTTCACTCTCCTGGGTTGCCCTTCAGCATAGAACCCAGAGCAGAACCCATGACATGGAGGCAGGAAAACCATGGCAACCAGTTATCCTTGTTTGATTGTCGACATTATGGTAAAGGGTGACAAAAGAATAGTTTGGGATACGCTGTCTAACAATAATATATTGTAAATTTTTTAAAACAATTATTTAAAGCAGGCAGGGATTTAAGGAAAAATCT